TGGTTGCATGTTTTGTTATGTCTGTGGGCAAGCCCAAGTTTCAGTTTAAGTTTTTATCTGCCACATCCCGCAATGAGTCAGTATTTTCGAAAACCCAGCTCGCACGATCTTTCGAAAATAAAAACAAAAATTTTACTCTGATTTTCAAAGCTAGTAGTAAGGCGGGGTGTGACAGAAGGTGGTATCAGAGCGCAAATTTGCGTTTCTGCATACTTTCAAAGTTTAGAAAAGCATGACCACGCCACGCTCATCCGCGCCGACTCCGAGGTAAGTCACCTGACTCAGTTTAAGTTTTGCAAGTGCTAAATTCAGTTCAAGTATGGGGCCTAGATAACTATCCTCCTATAAGAAAAGAAAGAACTCTAGATGGAGAACTCTAGAAAGATAAGCAAATGACAAGAACTCTAGACAGAACTCTAGAACAGCTAAGTCCAAGGACTCTAGACTAAGTCAGAACTCCATTACGAGCCAGAACATAGAAAGTGTAAGTATACCGGAATCTAGCCAAGCTAGGTGTTTTCGGATATCATTTATTTGATTTTATTATTTCAAGAGTAGTATGGCTATTTCTTAATCGGCTATACTAATCAATTCAAGCGTTTCCCGAATTTCAGAATGGCACCGCGTAGAGATCCCCAGGCACCAGTTGAGCAGGATCAGGCTGTTGTGGTCAGCCGATTCCGTACGTATGATCCACCCCGTTTCACTGGGGAGAGTGGCCCGTTAGCCGTGGCCGAGTGGATCCGGAAGATGGAGAGGATCTTCCGTATTATAGGGATTTCGGAGGCGCACAAGATGGCGTGCGCCGAACTGCAGATAGAGGGAGCCGCTGGAGACTGGTGGGAGGATTACTGGCGTTTACGCACGGAGGATGAGCGTGACGCTATGAGATGGGCTCAGTTTAAGACGATACTGGAGGACAAGTTCTATCCTCGCCATTTCAAGCAGAGGATGGCACGGGAGTTTGCCGCTCTCCAGCAGGGTGAGCGTTCAGTGGACGAGTACGAGCGCGAGTTCGCTCGTAAGAGTGCCTTTGCTTCGCATCTTGTTGATACGGAGGAGAAGAAGGCGGCACAGTTCCTTGATGGTTTGAGGAGCAACATCAGACTCTTGATCACCAGCAATGGCTTCCTTGACTACGCCGAGACTGTTGAGCGTGCCCAGCAGATCGAGGCGTGCATTCTGAGAGACACCTGTGCCCAGCCACCAGCCAGACAGCCAGCCGCTATTCCGCCAGCCCAGCCAGCTCAGCAGACGAACAAGAGAAAGTGGGACGGTCGCAAGGACAAGAGGAACCGCAGACAGAGAGGCCTAGCTCAGGGAGGCCAGCCAGCCCGACAGGACCTGCCGGCATGTGCTACCTGCGGACGTCCGCACCGCGGGGAGTGTCTTGCCGGGCAG